GCCCGTGTCGCCCAAACTAATGGCAAAGTCACACGCGGCTTAAGTTAGCTACAGCTTCCGATTCATTTAGCTTCTTATTCGTAGCGTCTTATTACACCCGCAACGGTGTGCGTCTCCCATACTACATCACAGTGAGAGGGAGCAACAGTCTGGAGGGCTTTCACTCCTTCCTGCCCAGCATGATTCCGGGCCCTCACTGTGCTGCTCTACCTTTTCAAGTGTACCTCCTGGCCGGCATCACTCGCTGGAACTCTGACAGGGAGTCGGCGAGCGTCAGAGGACAAAAGGGGAGGAAGCACATGGTTTACCAGTCTCCTCTTGTTCATCGCCTGAATCAGCGGTGTCAGGAACTGTTTGGGGAGGTCGAAGAAGCCAACTACAGGCCTCCTGTTCCGGCTGGTGATGAACAAATTGGGCTGGAATACCTGTTTGCTCAGTCAGCTGAACTGTTCAGCGCTCCTGACCACTACTCACAGGCCCGAGAGACACTGCAGGAAGCAGAGGATGAAGGGGATGATGTACCTGCTGAGGAATCCACAGTGGATGCAGAGGTGGATGAGGAGATGGATGCGGGCTACACCTCTGAAGGTGAGGGTGACACTAACTCCACTGAGGAAGCACATCTCCCTCACTGACCAGGCCGTGGCTGCTGAGCTCGACCCCTTCGTGGAAGATGTGTGTGGACCAAATCATCTGCTTGGGTATGAGCATGTTGAGGAGCTGAGCAAAATTTTGGTTGACATTGCCTTGGAAGAGGGAAAACTTGCCATCAGCAAGAAAGTCATCACTGCTTGGAGCAAGCTGGAGCTTCACGATCGAAACATTCAGCAGTTTGACTCCCTGTACTCTGCACGCTGGGGAAACGCTCTCTTCACCAGCGGAGACCCAGCAGAATCGTCGTTGGTACAGAAGCTGAAGTTCAGCAAACGGTATTCGGCTGCACATCTGCTGGATTCCAGAAAAAACAGGCTGATGTACTGCCTTGAACAGCTCTGGCTGCATCCCGACTGTGGAGGCAAGCCTCGAGGCTCACCACAGAAACATCAGGTGACAAAGATGTACCAGCGAGTGCAGCAGAGAGTGACCGTGGATGACGCTGAGCTCAGCAAGCTTGGCATTCCAATCCTCAAAATCAACTCCAAGTGTGTCTCTGAATTCACCCGCAGACAAGAGGCCTTGTCTGCCAGAAATGTCACAGACCAAGGTTTGACTGTCTTCCATCGCCATCAGAGCATCACTGACAGCACCCAAACCTCAGCACCAGCACCAGAATTGACCTCACAGGAAAGACCTCACACCAGTCGGCCTCAGGTGGAGTATGAGGTCACACCATCTTTGGCAGGAACAAGACTGCTTAAAAAAAGAGCCCCTCATCCCCCCCCACCATCCTCTCCAGTCTTCTCCCCCTACCACCAAGCCAAACAAGTCTTCAAGCCACCCAGTCCAGTCAGGAGAAAAAATCACAATCCACAACAGTGACACTTACCTTGGTACCTTGTGAGCCATCAGCTGCCTTGTCCACATCCCAGGCATCCTCGTCCACATCACAGGCACTGTCTCTGGCATGATCCACAATCTATAAAAGAAAAAGAGCTGAG